CAGCCTAAGAAGATGGAGTGACTGGGAAATTGTGAGTGAAAGGGACATGGTGTAGTTTGTTCAGCTGGGATGAGTCTCGGAATGCTGATTTGTCGGTCAAAGTTCCGCCCTGGGCGATGCAAAATAATGAAAAGAGAAATCAGGTTGCCAACTCTGGGTGATGAAATTCCTGGATATTTTGGGGGTGGAGCCTGAGAAGTGTGGAATTTGGGGAAGGGCGGGACCTCAATGGAGGGGAATATAATGCCACAATTATGGTTGCCAATCTCCAGGTGATGCCTGGAGATCATCTACGATTACAATTTAGACATCCCAGATCAGCTCCCTGGAAAAAATAGCTGCTTTGGAGGGTGGACTCTATGGCATTATACCCAGCTGAGGTCCCCTCCCTCCCTAAACCCTCCCCGGGCTCCCCCCCCCCCAAATCTTCAGTTATTTCCCAACTTAGAGCTGGCAACCCTGAGTTGTACAAACCCAGGTCTGCCCTCCAAAGGAGGTGAATTTATAGTCTGGAGATAAGCTGAAATGCTGGAAGATCTCCAGGCCCCAGCTGGAGGCTGGCATCCCTATAAAGAAGGCAGTGCCTCTGAGCAGGTAGAAAGTGCCTTTTTCTAAACACGGAGTCAGGACAATCAGTCTCAATCTTCCGTGTTTCTTTTCTTGGGAAGGTAATATCACAGAGGGTGAAAGCAGATACTGCCGAATCCATTAATGTATTTCTGGAGATTGGGGGACACCAGCTGTCTGGCTACATATTTAGATCAGGACCACAGTGTGGGCCATTGTGTCCGTCCCTGTGTTTCCACAGATTCCAATGTGCTCCCATTCGTGAAGTGGTATTCCCACGTGGCGTAAAAACACTGCTAACAAAGGGAAACCAACCTGCATAGTAGATTCCCTAAGAAAGGCAAAATGTCCGGAAAATATTCTGGGGATTACCTCTCCCCTGCCCCCACAGCTACAAGATTAACTGGTTCCTCCTCCCGATGGCTGCTATTTATCAGTTACCCACTCCTTGACATGAAGCCCGCTTGGGTCAGTCACAGTTTCTCTCAGAGCTCTCTCAGCCCCCATCTACCTCACAAGGCGCCTGACGTGGGGAGAGGAAGGGAAAGGCGATTGTAAGCTGCTTTGAGACTTCTTAAAGTAGAGGAAAGCGGGGTATAAAACCCCAACCCTTCTTCTTCTTCAATTAGAGTCCCCCCCCCATTGATGAATTTTCCAGCATTTCCCCCCCCCTAAATTGGTACTCAGAAGCCAGAGCGGGGCCTTTGCAGCAGTGGCCCATGCTGCGGAAATCTCATGGCTTTCCGCAGTGGAAAGTCTTGATTAAGAAAAGTTGCACTGTTTGCCAGGGCTGCCAGGATCCTAGTTGGGGCATATGATCCCCCACTCCGCCATGGAAGCTTACCGGGTGACCTTGAATAAGTCGCACACTCAGCCCAACCTACCTCAAGGGGTTGTTGCGAAGATAAAATGGACAACAGGCGAGTGATGAAAGCCACTTGGGCACCCATTTTGGAGAAAGATGGGATATAAATAAGGTAAGTAAAAACAAACAAACCCTATGACACCAAATGCAGTGTCATGTTACTTTGGTAAAATACTGGAAGTGACAAAGGGTAGCTCTAGGAGTTGCCAGAAATGCTATGGTTTTACCATAGCATTTCTGCTGATTCCTAAAGCTACCTCTTGTCACTTCTGGGGTATCTCTAGGAATCATAGGAAACGCTATTGTTTTTTTCATAGAGTTTCCAGCAGTTCCATAGTGTTTCTGCTGATTCCTAAAGCTACCCCTTGTCACTTCTGGGGTATCTCTAGGAATCATAGGAAACTCTATTTTCCCCCCATAGAGTTTCCAGCAATTCCTATGTTACTTTTTTTAAAAAAACTGGAAGCGATGTGATGCAGCAGCCAGACTCATCCCCTCACCCCATATCCCCAACCACAGCCCTCCTGCCGGGCACTGACTGGCAACACTACCCCCCTATGATCTTTCAAGCCTTCTTCTGATACAGAAGAAGTTACATCTTCCATGTATCCTAGGGACTTCTGAATGTTGCCTACAGTGTGTTGGAGAGAGGGGGGAAGATTTGTCTTACCAAAGATCAACAATGTTTAATTTAAGTGATGGGAACTGCAAAACAAGCCCTTCGCCTGAACTATGCTCTCCTGTGTGTTAGGATAGAGAACGCAAAGAAGGGGTGGGAACGTGCACTCTTTTATGTGATGCCACAGCTGTTACTGTGTGGGAAATTACTCAACAGAGCCTGTCGCCCGCCTGTCTTAATGACCTCCACTGAATGTGAGACAGGAGGTAACGTATCGGGAATGGTTTTGTTTTCGAAAATGATTTGTGCAGTGTGCTATCATTAGCCAAAGAAAGCAAGACAGGCCTAGCTTTTCCCGTCAGTGTCGTAGGCAAATAGATAATGATCTGGTACCTCTCTCGTTCCAAACAATTGGTCACAGCTCTGTGTGACCGAGAAACTGAGGCCAAGAGGGAGACTGACAGATGGAGGGAGTGGATTCAGGTGGGGAGCCGTGTTGGCCTGAATATGCAGAACAAAGTTCGGGTCCCGCGGCACCTTCACCAACAAAGTTTTATTCAAGGTATAAGCTTTTGTGTGCATGCACTCGAAATGTATGTATCTGAAGAAGTGTGCATGCACACGAAAGCTTATACCTTGAATCAGGGTCATTTCCTGCAGGAGCACACAGGAGTGGAGCTCCGGCAGTAAAGAGCCCAGGGGGTGGGCACATGCAACAAGCCCCACCCCCTGCTCCCAGCAGCCCTCAGTCAGAGCAAGAAGCAGACAGGTAAGTTGCAGAGCTCCCCCTGGCTCCCCGGTCCAAGATAGTCCAGTGGCACCTGTAAGGCAAAGTTTTATTCAGGTACAAGCTCTCCCTCCTCTGCCAGGACAGATCTGCACGTCCTCCCCCCCCCAATAGCTAGCAATCCAAAACAGTCCAGTGGAGCCTGCCTGAGTGATGGGTGTTGCCTTCGGACACACTTCCGGTGATGTCAGGGGGTGCGGCATATGCAAATAGGTTATGCTAATGAGTTATGCTAATGAGCTCCTGCACCTCTTTCTATGAAATGACCCCTGCCTTGAATAAAACTTAGTTAGTCTTAAGAAGAAGAAGAGACTGGATTTATATCCTGCCCTTCACTACTCAAAGGAGTCTCAGAATGGTTTACAATCCCTTTCCCTTCCCCTCCCCACAACAGACACCCTGTGAGGTCGGTGGGGCTGAGAGAGCTCTTTCGAGGACTGCTCTTGAGAGAACAGCTCTGAGAGAACTGTGACTGATCCAAGGTCACCCAGCTGGCTTCATGTGGAGGAGTGGGAAATCAAACCCAGTTCTCCAGATTAGAGTCAGCCGGTCTTAACAACTACACCAAGGTGCCCCTGGACTTGAACTTTGTTCAGTGAGCCAGTTTGGTGTAGTGGTTAAGTGCACGGATTCTAATCTGTGAGAACCGGGTTTGAACCACCTCTGAACATCTCTTGTCTTGAAAACCCTCTGGGGTTGCCATAAGTTGGCTGTGACTTGTCGGCACTTCCCACCACCACCGTTCCCAGAATTCCTATAATCCCACCAAGACCAAGTAGCAAAGAAGGTGGCAGGACCAAGGAGAAGCACGATACAGGGCTCTTTTTGTAGAAAAAGCCCAGCAGGAACTCATTAGCATAATAGGCCACACCCAACATCAGAAACTCATTAGCATATTAGGCCACACCCTGACAGCACAGCTCATTAGCCCATTAGGCCACACCCCCATGTTACCAGAAGTGTGGTCATCCAGCCACACCCACTTTTTGCTTCTTATTCTGTTTACCTTGTTTGTTGTCAAAACCCAGGGCTTTTTTGGGAGCAGGAACTCCTTTGCATGTTAGGCCACACACCCCTAAAGTAGCCAATCCTAATGAGTTTCTGCAGTTGGGTGTGGCCTATTATGCTAATGAGCTCCTGCTGGGCGTGGCCAACTCGGAAGCCAGCTGGAACTCCATTCCTGTGCGTTCCTGCCCAAAAATAGCCCTGAGCACGAACCAAGAAGAGTACTGCATGCCTGGTAGCTAAATCGCTTGCTCACAACTTTAATGACAGTATTGCTGTTGTTGTTAAATTTTAATTAATTAAAATTATTGATGATTTATTAATATTAATTAATTTATTATTAACAATAAGTAACAGAGAACATGTTTGGGAGTCTCTACAATGAATCATATCAACTTAGGGTTGCCAATCTCCAGTTGGGGGCAGGGGATCCTCCAGTTTGGAGCCCCTCTCCCCACTTCAGGGCTATCAGGAAGTGGGGGGGGAAATAGCTGCTGGGTGCTCCATTATACCCTATGGAGGCCGGTCCCCATAGGGTATAATGGAGAATTGATCCGTATCAGGGGCTCTGCGGAGGCTGTTTTTTTTGAGGTAGATGCACCAAATTTTCAGCATAGCTTCTGGTGTCTCTCCTCAACTACCCTCCCAAGTTTCAAAAAGATTAGATCAGGGTGTCCAACTCTATGAGCCCCAAAAGAAGGTGCCGCCATCCTTCATTATTTCCAATGGAGTGAAAGCATTTAAAAGGCATGGGGTCTTTTTAAATGTGACGGCAGCTCAGCCGGAACTCACTTTGGAGTTCCTTCCCCTGGACCCTCCCTCCCCTCTCCCGGAGGCTCCTGGTAAGCCTCCGCCCACTTGTCAGCCTCACCTGGCAACCCTACATTAACTAACCCCCGAAGATCTCCTAACTAGAGATAAAGTCTTTTAGGACAACAACTGTGGCTTTCAGGCTGACTTGAGGCCTGGAGCTCATTGTTCCAGAAAGCAGGCACAGCCTCCTTGCAGTGACTCCATGAACTAAGGATATAACAAAGCAGGAGAGGATTGGAGGATGTTTGCTATCATGCAATAAGGAGCTGGAAAAAACAATCAAACCATAGACCGGAGCACAGCATGGTGGCAGCGGTAAAAATGAAAGGAGAAAAGAAAATTACCTGATTGTTTTGATCATGCTGAGTCCCATTTCGACACAACAATGAGCATGGTCTTGGCGAGGCTCTGGGAGGCCAGAAACACAGTAGTAGCAGTCCCCCAAGATCTTAATTCTAAGGCAGTGATGTTCCTGCATCCAAAAGAAAATGGTTTTCCGCAATGAGACTCCATTTGCAAGAACAAAGGGTATATAATGCAATGAGCACCGAAAGGAAACTGGAACATGCCCCAGTGTGCTTTCTCCATACGGAGCAAACATCTTGACTTTCTTCTAAATTTTCACAATGTGCATCTTTATATACCTTCAATGAAGCTGGTCCCACGATTTCTTGGAAAGCATATCTAATTCTAAGTAGGAGAACAAGAAACATCACCAAGGTCTGACTGCGCCGGACACGCTGATGTGGTTACCCAATTCCATGTTAGAGGTTCCATTTATTAGAAGTCATAAGGGACAGATTTGTCGGACAGAAAATGATTTGGCATTCCGAACAAAGAGGACAAGGACAGAGTTTCCGAGAGATATGATTACAGCCCTGAGTATCGGTTAAATTGGTGGACAAGCTAGTAAAGTACAGCACAGAAGTGACGGGCAAAAATCTAACATCCAGCTTCCCCCCATATATATTTTTTTGAAACATTCATAATTTCTCCATAGGTGGTTGCTGTGCCTGATTGTTTGCTCCCATTCTGGTCAAGGAGCGAGAAAAAATCTATTTAGTTGCCAATTTCCTCAAATGAGATCACTTTCATACAGCCCAATACTATTTTTCAGGGACTGCACACCAAGTGGGGTGAAGAACTTGAGTTAAGGAGCATTAGAACCATGTGGTACAGCAGTTAGACCAGTGATCTGCAACGTGGTGCCTGTTGGTGCCACGGTGCCCAGCAGTGTGTTTCCATGTGCCCATTTTCTCCTTCCCCCAAATACCTCTTCCTCAAACAAAGAGGGAATACTTATTACCCTTCACTAGGGTTGCCAGGTCTCCCAGGGGACAGGGGTTGCCCGCTCGATGGGCCCCTTACCCACCAGCCCGAGTCTGGCCACCAGGGGGAACCCCACCCCCAAAGTGCCAGGATTGTGGGGACATGCCCAGTGTGATGATGTCACCTGGGGGTGATGTCATCGTGCTGGGCACATTGCGGGGAGGGGGATGCTCTATCATTCGAGGGAAAACTCTATGTTTTCCCCTTGAATTACAGTGGCCCCACCCCAACGTGCCCAACTCGGTGACATCACTTCCCGGTGATGTCATCGTGGCATGTGCACTTTGTGCATGCGAGGTCCCATAGAGGGGCCAGGACTCCCCTGCTGGAACGATGGTTAGACCTGGCAACCCTACCCCCACCACAGTGGAGCAGGAGATGATTCAGAAGACCATGATGAGGCATCACCTTTGGGTCTGCAGGGAGCACCCATTCGGAATAGCTGCCTCCATCGTTGGAGGATCCTCAGCTTGCAACCTGCCAATATTTAGCATTGTCCCACCCTCCACGGCAGCCATTTTGTGGTGGACGCCATTACCCTTTCTCAACATTCCAAAAGAGCCTGCAGACTCATCAGGGTTGAGGAACTCTGGGCTGGAACTGTACTACAAACAAGTAAGGCCAGGTTCAAACTCTTCTAGTGAAGTTCACTGAGGGACCACGGGCCCATCACTTTGTCTGGTATTTCTGGCACTGGTATTTCTGGCCACTGTGTGATACAGAGTGTTGGACTGGATGGGCCTTTGGCCTGATCCAACATTGGCATCTCTTATGTTCTTATGTTTGGGAGGACTTCTAATGTCCTGGCCCCATTGATGGACCTCCTGATGGCACTGGTATGTCTGGCCACTGTGTGATACAGAGTGCTGGACTGGATGGGCCTTTGGCCTGATCCAACATTGGCATCTCTTATGTTCTTATATTCTTATGTTCATATGGAGCAGAGGTCCATCAGTGGCTATTAGCCACAAGGTATAG